GCATACTCACCCTCTTTACAGGCTAATCAGAAAGTGCTGCCTTTTTCAGATGTTTAACTTAACATGTAGGCCTAGTGGCGACATGTATGATTACGCCCTTTCCATTTAAACACAAACACAAACACAAAACAAAACACAAAAACAACACAAGAAAAATTTGGGGGAGGGCAACGGGGGCCATGCCCCCCCCCCCCCAAAAAAAAATGGAACCCATTTTTGTTTTCAGTGTCGTCGCAATAGAGGCAGGTACTGCATACACCACCTTTTCCTTTTAAAAAAATGGTTAAAGTGGTCAGAAATTGCCTCAGATCGCACCACAGATCATCTAGAAACCCAAAAAAATATCCACCCTTGGGGCCATGCAAGGCCTTGTATACATTAAAAAAAAAAAATATGCCTGTTATTATTGGTACGGCCTTAGCCGTACCTGCCGTACCGCTTCCTGCGGCCTTGATAAGTGCTGCTCCACTAGCAGTATCTCATCTGTTTCAATTCTGTTTCAATTCCAATTCTGTTCCATTTCTATTCTAGTCTATTTCAGTTCACCCAGTTCTCTTTGTCTCAGTTCACTGTAACCAGTTTAATCAATCAATTTCTCTCGAGGGGGCCGGTACATTTTATGCTCAAGGGGGACACATTTATGTCCGCAGGAGGGGCACTTGGGAAAATTTAGGGGGGGGGGGGAGTGCCATCCCGGTTTCGCCGCCCCTGGGCCCCAACTAGGGACAACTAAGACGTACTAAATAATTTATTTCACGACACTGTCGATGATCGCAATTTTTTTCTAGACATTGAAATCTACAACATCGGGTTTTTTCGCGACATGAAATTCGCGATAAATGTATGGTGGTGTACGATAATGATCATCGGGAATGCAACGAAATAGAAACGGAGTGTTTTTCTAATAAAGGTATACGGTGTGTGGGTGGACTATGATTGACCGATCCAGTAAGCACCGTCCCATGGTGTTCTGAACAATCACAGCCTTGACTTATAATTATGTCCGACGTGCTCGCACGAAAGTCATGCGCGTATGATGCGCGCGGCAGGAAAATGCAGTGTGGCATTAGGACCACGTGTTAATTTGCCCAGTGCGCGCAGTGGGCGGGGTTTACTGGATCGGTCCATTAATCCGGTTCGCCTAAATAAAAACGTCATACACCATTTAGAGACACACTCCGTTGGAAAAAATGGTCCAATTAACATGGTTAACTTATTCCTTATGATGAGACTTGCGTTTTGGCCGGCCGAAGTCAATTGAGCGTGATCGGCTGACTGATAAGGTTTACGCACAAAACCCCGAGCCAACAAGGTTTTTGTATAGAAGCTGCCCAACCACATTTTGCGAGAGTGTGCCCGTAATGCAAGTATATCTTGAAATTTTTTTTAAATAATAACGACAGTGCGGGAACACATTGCCCGCAATCGTAGCATGAAACACAATGAAGCACAAAGGATTTCCGGTACAAATGCAATAAACTATTGATTTTTTATGAAGAATTTGGGTAAGTTGGAAACACATTAGCACAGCTAGCTGTACCGATATTCGCGGAGTGCCCAGGGCCGTTCGCGCGTCACGGTAGCACTCAGCCTTTTCGCAGTCCGTTCATGGTGACTGCGGGCGCGCGGCATGTACTGCGTTCACCGTTTGTAAATCTCAACTTTAGGTCCTGGCAGTTTCATTAAAAAGTATTTTAAGAATTAAGGATGTATATTTTGAAAATAAAAAAGAAAAGTTATTTGTTTGGTGTTCTTAAAATGTTATAGGAGGAGCTGAGGCTCAACTTTCAAGGATCAAAACCGAAACTCAGATAACGAAGCTGATTTGAACGTGATTTACCCTCTTCTCTTGCGGAAAGGGATTGTTTTATTTTCATGTGTGAATTTTTTATTATTGGTAATTATTACCATTTATTATAATAATTATTGTTTTGTACCAGAAATCATTTCAAATGGCTTTTGAATAATTTGGCTCCATTGACGGAGATTCACGACACGACCGGGCATGCAATGTGTTCCAGGGGGCAAGTCGGTCAGGGGGCGAGTAGGTACAGTTCAGGGGGCGAGTCGGCTAGCCTGGCGAGTCGGTAAGGGGCGAGTCGGTCAGGGGGGGAGTCGGTCATCAGGGGGCGAGTCGGTCAGGGGGGCGAGTCGGTAAGAGGCGAGTCGGCAAGGGGGCGAGTTGACCTGCCATGCCTGCAATTCGCTAGTCTTGGTCCACGACATTCTTAATGGGTAATTCACGACAAGCCTGTATTTTACCGCGCGCGATTTTCCCTCGTACTTACATATTACCGCTAAGGACGTCTTGTAACCAAGTCTATGAACCTTTTTTGTGTACATTATTCTGTATGTGGCGTACAAAAAGTGGTGCAAAACAAGGGAGGGCGCCTTTGGCTTTGCAACAGCGCCACGTCCGTGTGAAATGCCTTTAAACAACTGGCTTACGGAGAGAACATAAACATGGGTAAGCGAAAAGAAGAAAGACAATCAAGTCCACATGTTGACGTAGGTGAAGAAGAGTTTTCTAAAGGTAAATATGGTAAATGTATAGGCGGGGGGAGGGGGGGAGGGGGAAGGGGGTAGGGGGTCCCCCCTCGGGCCCATGTTTTGTATTGTAGTTGTAAAGACTGTCCTTTTCCATTGCAATGACCTTATTCACTAGCGCTTATAGCCCCATAAATGTGGCCTATTTACTGGACTGCCTCCGTAAACATAGGCCACACATCCACATGTACAAAAATCGTGTCGACGGAGCCAAATTTTGATTTTCACATTTAGGCTTAGTTTGTAGGTTTTTTTTGCTTTAGTAGCATACTCACCCTCTTTACAGGCTAATCAGAAAGTGCTGCCTTTTTCAGATGTTTAACTTAACATGTAGGCCTAGTGGCGACATGTATGATTACGCCCTTTCCATTTAAACACAAACACAAACACAAAACAAAACACAAAAACAACACAAGAAAAATTGGGGGAGGGCAACGGGGGCCATGCCCCCCCCCCCCCAAAAAAAAATGGAACCCATTTTTGTTTTCAGTGTCGTCGCAATAGAGGCAGGTACTGCATACACCACCTTTTCCTTTTAAAAAAATGGTTAAAGTGGTCAGAAATTGCCTCAGATCGCACCACAGATCATCTAGAAACCCAAAAAAATATCCACCCTTGGGGCCATGCAAGGCCTTGTATACATTAAAAAAAAAAATATGCCTGTTATTATTGGTACGGCCTTAGCCGTACCTGCCGTACCGCTTCCTGCGGCCTTGATAAGTGCTGCTCCACTAGCAGTATCTCATCTGTTTCAATTCTGTTTCAATTCCAATTCTGTTCCATTTCTATTCTAGTCTATTTCAGTTCACCCAGTTCTCTTTGTCTCAGTTCACTGTAACCAGTTTAATCAATCAATTTCTCTCGAGGGGGCCGGTACATTTTATGCTCAAGGGGGACACATTTATGTCCGCAGGAGGGGCACTTGGGAAAATTTAGGGGGGGGGGGGGAGTGCCATCCCGGTTTCGCCGCCCCTGGGCCCCAACTAGGGACAACTAAGACGTACTAAATAATTTATTTCACGACACTGTCGATGATCGCAATTTTTTTCTAGACATTGAAATCTACAACATCGGGTTTTTTCGCGACATGAAATTCGCGATAAATGTATGGTGGTGTACGATAATGATCATCGGGAATGCAACGAAATAGAAACGGAGTGTTTTTCTAATAAAGGTATACGGTGTGTGGGTGGACTATGATTGACCGATCCAGTAAGCACCGTCCCATGGTGTTCTGAACAATCACAGCCGTGACTTATAATTATGTCCGACGTGCTCGCACGAAAGTCATGCGCGTATGATGCGCGCGGCAGGAAAATGCAGTGTGGCATTAGGACCACGTGTTAATTTGCCCAGTGCGCGCAGTGGGCGGGGTTTACTGGATCGGTCCATTAATCCGGTTCGCCTAAATAAAAACGTCATACACCATTTAGAGACACACTCCGTTGGAAAAAATGGTCCAATTAACATGGTTAACTTATTCCTTATGATGAGACTTGCGTTTTGGCCGGCCGAAGTCAATTGAGCGTGATCGGCTGACTGATAAGGTTTACGCACAAAACCCCGAGCCAACAAGGTTTTTGTATAGAAGCTGCCCAACCACATTTTGCGAGAGTGTGCCCGTAATGCAAGTATATCTTGAAATTTTTTTTAAATAATAACGACAGTGCGGGAACACATTGCCCGCAATCGTAGCATGAAACACAATGAAGCACAAAGGATTTCCGGTACAAATGCAATAAACTATTGATTTTTTATGAAGAATTTGGGTAAGTTGGAAACACATTAGCACAGCTAGCTGTACCGATATTCGCGGAGTGCCCAGGGCCGTTCGCGCGTCACGGTAGCACTCAGCCTTTTCGCAGTCCGTTCATGGTGACTGCGGGCGCGCGGCATGTACTGCGTTCACCGTTTGTAAATCTCAACTTTAGGTCCTGGCAGTTTCATTAAAAAGTATTTTAAGAATTAAGGATGTATATTTTGAAAATAAAAAAGAAAAGTTATTTGTTTGGTGTTCTTAAAATGTTATAGGAGGAGCTGAGGCTCAACTTTCAAGGATCAAAACCGAAACTCAGATAACGAAGCTGATTTGAACGTGATTTACCCTCTTCTCTTGCGGAAAGGGATTGTTTTATTTTCATGTGTGAATTTTTTATTATTGGTAATTATTACCATTTATTATAATAATTATTGTTTTGTACCAGAAATCATTTCAAATGGCTTTTGAATAATTTGGCTCCATTGACGGAGATTCACGACACGACCGGGCATGCAATGTGTTCCAGGGGGCAAGTCGGTCAGGGGGCGAGTAGGTACAGTTCAGGGGGCGAGTCGGCTAGCCTGGCGAGTCGGTAAGGGGCGAGTCGGTCAGGGGGGGAGTCGGTCATCAGGGGGCGAGTCGGTCAGGGGGGCGAGTCGGTAAGAGGCGAGTCGGCAAGGGGGCGAGTTGACCTGCCATGCCTGCAATTCGCTAGTCTTGGTCCACGACATTCTTAATGGGTAATTCACGACAAGCCTGTATTTTACCGCGCGCGATTTTCCCTCGTACTTACATATTACCGCTAAGGACGTCTTGTAACCAAGTCTATGAACCTTTTTTGTGTACATTATTCTGTATGTGGCGTACAAAAAGTGGTGCAAAACAAGGGAGGGCGCCTTTGGCTTTGCAACAGCGCCACGTCCGTGTGAAATGCCTTTAAACAACTGGCTTGCAAAAAGAGAACATAAACATGGGTAAGCGAAAAGAAGAAAGACAATCAAGTCCACATGTTGACGTAGGTGAAGAAGAGTTTTCTAAAGGTAAATATGGTAAATGTATAGGCGGGGGGAGGGGGGGGAGGGGGAAGGGGGTAGGGGGTCCCCCCTCGGGCCCATGTTTTGTATTGTAGTTGTAAAGACTGTCCTTTTCCATTGCAATGACCTTATTCACTAGCGCTTATAGCCCCATAAATGTGGCCTATTTACTGGACTGCCTCCGTAAACATAGGCCACACATCCACATGTACAAAAATCGTGTCGACGGAGCCAAATTTTGATTTTCACATTTAGGCTTAGTTTGTAGGTTTTTTTTGCTTTAGTAGCATACTCACCCTCTTTACAGGCTAATCAGAAAGTGCTGCCTTTTTCAGATGTTTAACTTAACATGTAGGCCTAGTGGCGACATGTATGATTACGCCCTTTCCATTTAAACACAAACACAAACACAAAACAAAACACAAAAACAACACAAGAAAAATTTGGGGGAGGGCAACGGGGGCCATGCCCCCCCCCCCCCAAAAAAAAAATGGAACCCATTTTTGTTTTCAGTGTCGTCGCAATAGAGGCAGGTACTGCATACACCACCTTTTCCTTTTAAAAAAATGGTTAAAGTGGTCAGAAATTGCCTCAGATCGCACCACAGATCATCTAGAAACCCAAAAAAATATCCACCCTTGGGGCCATGCAAGGCCTTGTATACATTAAAAAAAAAAAATATGCCTGTTATTATTGGTACGGCCTTAGCCGTACCTGCCGTACCGCTTCCTGCGGCCTTGATAAGTGCTGCTCCACTAGCAGTATCTCATCTGTTTCAATTCTGTTTCAATTCCAATTCTGTTCCATTTCTATTCTAGTCTATTTCAGTTCACCCAGTTCTCTTTGTCTCAGTTCACTGTAACCAGTTTAATCAATCAATTTCTCTCGAGGGGGCCGGTACATTTTATGCTCAAGGGGGACACATTTATGTCCGCAGGAGGGGCACTTGGGAAAATTTAGGGGGGGGGGGGGGAGTGCCATCCCGGTTTCGCCGCCCCTGGGCCCCAACTAGGGACAACTAAGACGTACTAAATAATTTATTTCACGACACTGTCGATGATCGCAATTTTTTTCTAGACATTGAAATCTACAACATCGGGTTTTTTCGCGACATGAAATTCGCGATAAATGTATGGTGGTGTACGATAATGATCATCGGGAATGCAACGAAATAGAAACGGAGTGTTTTTCTAATAAAGGTATACGGTGTGTGGGTGGACTATGATTGACCGATCCAGTAAGCACCGTCCCATGGTGTTCTGAACAATCACAGCCGTGACTTATAATTATGTCCGACGTGCTCGCACGAAAGTCATGCGCGTATGATGCGCGCGGCAGGAAAATGCAGTGTGGCATTAGGACCACGTGTTAATTTGCCCAGTGCGCGCAGTGGGCGGGGTTTACTGGATCGGTCCATTAATCCGGTTCGCCTAAATAAAAACGTCATACACCATTTAGAGACACACTCCGTTGGAAAAAATGGTCCAATTAACATGGTTAACTTATTCCTTATGATGAGACTTGCGTTTTGGCCGGCCGAAGTCAATTGAGCGTGATCGGCTGACTGATAAGGTTTACGCACAAAACCCCGAGCCAACAAGGTTTTTGTATAGAAGCTGCCCAACCACATTTTGCGAGAGTGTGCCCGTAATGCAAGTATATCTTGAAAATTTTTTAAATAATAACGACAGTGCGGGAACACATTGCCCGCAATCGTAGCATGAAACACAATGAAGCACAAAGGATTTCCGGTACAAATGCAATAAACTATTGATTTTTTATGAAGAATTTGGGTAAGTTGGAAACACATTAGCACAGCTAGCTGTACCGATATTCGCGGAGTGCCCAGGGCCGTTCGCGCGTCACGGTAGCACTCAGCCTTTTCGCAGTCCGTTCATGGTGACTGCGGGCGCGCGGCATGTACTGCGTTCACCGTTTGTAAATCTCAACTTTAGGTCCTGGCAGTTTCATTAAAAAGTATTTTAAGAATTAAGGATGTATATTTTGAAAATAAAAAAGAAAAGTTATTTGTTTGGTGTTCTTAAAATGTTATAGGAGGAGCTGAGGCTCAACTTTCAAGGATCAAAACCGAAACTCAGATAACGAAGCTGATTTGAACGTGATTTACCCTCTTCTCTTGCGGAAAGGGATTGTTTTATTTTCATGTGTGAATTTTTTATTATTGGTAATTATTACCATTTATTATAATAATTATTGTTTTGTACCAGAAATCATTTCAAATGGCTTTTGAATAATTTGGCTCCATTGACGGAGATTCACGACACGACCGGGCATGCAATGTGTTCCAGGGGGCAAGTCGGTCAGGGGGCGAGTAGGTACAGTTCAGGGGGCGAGTCGGCTAGCCTGGCGAGTCGGTAAGGGGCGAGTCGGTCAGGGGGGGGGAGTCGGTCATCAGGGGGCGAGTCGGTCAGGGGGGCGAGTCGGTAAGAGGCGAGTCGGCAAGGGGGCGAGTTGACCTGCCATGCCTGCAATTCGCTAGTCTTGGTCCACGACATTCTTAATGGGTAATTCACGACAAGCCTGTATTTTACCGCGCGCGATTTTCCCTCGTACTTACATATTACCGCTAAGGACGTCTTGTAACCAAGTCTATGAACCTTTTTTGTGTACATTATTCTGTATGTGGCGTACAAAAAGTGGTGCAAAACAAGGGAGGGCGCCTTTGGCTTTGCAACAGCGCCACGTCCGTGTGAAATGCCTTTAAACAACTGGCTTACGGAGAGAACATAAACATGGGTAAGCGAAAAGAAGAAAGACAATCAAGTCCACATGTTGACGTAGGTGAAGAAGAGTTTTCTAAAGGTAAATATGGTAAATGTATAGGCGGGGGGAGGGGGGGAGGGGGAAGGGGGTAGGGGGTCCCCCCTCGGGCCCATGTTTTGTATTGTAGTTGTAAAGACTGTCCTTTTCCATTGCAATGACCTTATTCACTAGCGCTTATAGCCCCATAAATGTGGCCTATTTACTGGACTGCCTCCGTAAACATAGGCCACACATCCACATGTACAAAAATCGTGTCGACGGAGCCAAATTTTGATTTTCACATTTAGGCTTAGTTTGTAGGTTTTTTTTGCTTTAGTAGCATACTCACCCTCTTTACAGGCTAATCAGAAAGTGCTGCCTTTTTCAGATGTTTAACTTAACATGTAGGCCTAGTGGCGACATGTATGATTACGCCCTTTCCATTTAAACACAAACACAAACACAAAACAAAACACAAAAACAACACAAGAAAAATTTGGGGGAGGGCAACGGGGGCCATGCCCCCCCCCCCCCCCAAAAAAAATGGAACCCATTTTTGTTTTCAGTGTCGTCGCAATAGAGGCAGGTACTGCATACACCACCTTTTCCTTTTAAAAAAATGGTTAAAGTGGTCAGAAATTGCCTCAGATCGCACCACAGATCATCTAGAAACCCAAAAAAATATCCACCCTTGGGGCCATGCAAGGCCTTGTATACATTAAAAAAAAAAATATGCCTGTTATTATTGGTACGGCCTTAGCCGTACCTGCCGTACCGCTTCCTGCGGCCTTGATAAGTGCTGCTCCACTAGCAGTATCTCATCTGTTTCAATTCTGTTTCAATTCCAATTCTGTTCCATTTCTATTCTAGTCTATTTCAGTTCACCCAGTTCTCTTTGTCTCAGTTCACTGTAACCAGTTTAATCAATCAATTTCTCTCGAGGGGGCCGGTACATTTTATGCTCAAGGGGGACACATTTATGTCCGCAGGAGGGGCACTTGGGAAAATTTAGGGGGGGGGGGGGGAGTGCCATCCCGGTTTCGCCGCCCCTGGGCCCCAACTAGGGACAACTAAGACGTACTAAATAATTTATTTCACGACACTGTCGATGATCGCAATTTTTTTCTAGACATTGAAATCTACAACATCGGGTTTTTTCGCGACATGAAATTCGCGATAAATGTATGGTGGTGTACGATAATGATCATCGGGAATGCAACGAAATAGAAACGGAGTGTTTTTCTAATAAAGGTATACGGTGTGTGGGTGGACTATGATTGACCGATCCAGTAAGCACCGTCCCATGGTGTTCTGAACAATCACAGCCGTGACTTATAATTATGTCCGACGTGCTCGCACGAAAGTCATGCGCGTATGATGCGCGCGGCAGGAAAATGCAGTGTGGCATTAGGACCACGTGTTAATTTGCCCAGTGCGCGCAGTGGGCGGGGTTTACTGGATCGGTCCATTAATCCGGTTCGCCTAAATAAAAACGTCATACACCATTTAGAGACACACTCCGTTGGAAAAAATGGTCCAATTAACATGGTTAACTTATTCCTTATGATGAGACTTGCGTTTTGGCCGCCGAAGTCAATTGAGCGTGATCGGCTGACTGATAAGGTTTACGCACAAAACCCCGAGCCAACAAGGTTTTTGTATAGAAGCTGCCCAACCACATTTTGCGAGAGTGTGCCCGTAATGCAAGTATATCTTGAAATTTTTTTTAAATAATAACGACAGTGCGGGAACACATTGCCCGCAATCGTAGCATGAAACACAATGAAGCACAAAGGATTTCCGGTACAAATGCAATAAACTATTGATTTTTTATGAAGAATTTGGGTAAGTTGGAAACACATTAGCACAGCTAGCTGTACCGATATTCGCGGAGTGCCCAGGGCCGTTCGCGCGTCACGGTAGCACTCAGCCTTTTCGCAGTCCGTTCATGGTGACTGCGGGCGCGCGGCATGTACTGCGTTCACCGTTTGTAAATCTCAACTTTAGGTCCTGGCAGTTTCATTAAAAAGTATTTTAAGAATTAAGGATGTATATTTTGAAAATAAAAAAGAAAAGTTATTTGTTTGGTGTTCTTAAAATGTTATAGGAGGAGCTGAGGCTCAACTTTCAAGGATCAAAACCGAAACTCAGATAACGAAGCTGATTTGAACGTGATTTACCCTCTTCTCTTGCGGAAAGGGATTGTTTTATTTTCATGTGTGAATTTTTTATTATTGGTAATTATTACCATTTATTATAATAATTATTGTTTTGTACCAGAAATCATTTCAAATGGCTTTTGAATAATTTGGCTCCATTGACGGAGATTCACGACACGACCGGGCATGCAATGTGTTCCAGGGGGCAAGTCGGTCAGGGGGCGAGTAGGTACAGTTCAGGGGGCGAGTCGGCTAGCCTGGCGAGTCGGTAAGGGGCGAGTCGGTCAGGGGGGGAGTCGGTCATCAGGGGGCGAGTCGGTCAGGGGGGCGAGTCGGTAAGAGGCGAGTCGGCAAGGGGGCGAGTTGACCTGCCATGCCTGCAATTCGCTAGTCTTGGTCCACGACATTCTTAATGGGTAATTCACGACAAGCCTGTATTTTACCGCGCGCGATTTTCCCTCGTACTTACATATTACCGCTAAGGACGTCTTGTAACCAAGTCTATGAACCTTTTTTGTGTACATTATTCTGTATGTGGCGTACAAAAAGTGGTGCAAAACAAGGGAGGGCGCCTTTGGCTTTGCAACAGCGCCACGTCCGTGTGAAATGCCTTTAAACAACTGGCTTACGGAGAGAACATAAACATGGGTAAGCGAAAAGAAGAAAGACAATCAAGTCCACATGTTGACGTAGGTGAAGAAGAGTTTTCTAAAGGTAAATATGGTAAATGTATAGGCGGGGGGAGGGGGGGGAGGGGGAAGGGGGTAGGGGGTCCCCCCTCGGGCCCATGTTTTGTATTGTAGTTGTAAAGACTGTCCTTTTCCATTGCAATGACCTTATTCACTAGCGCTTATAGCCCCATAAATGTGGCCTATTTACTGGACTGCCTCCGTAAACATAGGCCACACATCCACATGTACAAAAATCGTGTCGACGGAGCCAAATTTTGATTTTCACATTTAGGCTTAGTTTGTAGGTTTTTTTTGCTTTAGTAGCATACTCACCCTCTTTACAGGCTAATCAGAAAGTGCTGCCTTTTTCAGATGTATATTTTTCGTGAAATTTCCAGATTCATTTTTACACGTTTGCGTATCAAAATTTCAACATGAAATTTCACAAAAATTAGACATCTGAAAAAGGCAGCACTTTCTGATTAGCCTGTAAAGAGGGTGAGTATGCTTCTAAAGCAAAAAAACCCTACAAACTAAGCCTAAATGTGAAAATCAAAATTTGGCTCCGTCGACACGATTTTTGTACATGTGGATGTGTGGCCTATGTTTACGGAGGCAGTCCAGTAAATAGGCCACATTTATGGGGCTATAGCGCTTACAAATATTGGGGGGGGGGCAAATATTTGTAAAGAGTGGCCCTTTGAAGTTCTGTTCTTAACAAGTGCCCTTTTTTCTGAACAAGTGCCCCAGGTTTCAAAAAAATCACTATGCCCTTTTTTGTGCCATCAGTGTTACCCCCATCATGCTGACGGGTGCCTTTTTTTTAATTTCGCAAATCTATCAACCTGAAAAGCTCCAGATACTGTGCGTTACTGCATGTGCAGTACTACTGTGCATAATCGTCAGTTTTGAACAACACAAAAAAAAGTGTCTATCAGCACGGATACACAAGTGCCCTTTTCAAGAAATATTTACCCTCCCCCCCCCCCCCCCCCCCCCCCCCCCCCCCCCCCCCCCCCCCCCCGAAGTGGCAATCTTGTAGTGTAGGGCCCGGTTCCTATAAGGGAACAAAATCCACTTTAATATTATTAGATCGACCAAACTAGTTGGGGACATTCTCAGTATGCAGGTAGTGAGGTACATGTACACAAATGTATGTCATTGATAAAGGCCAGGGTTAAGGTTTTGATTTTTTGAGGGAAATTTGGGGGAAAATGATAATGACAGCGCAGCAACAACACGCAACCTGAAAATAAAGATGGCGATCATCGCGCGATGTACCATGAATAACAAGGCACAAACTGCACAGGAAAATCATGATATCTACCTGAAGAAACTGTTCAAAATTGCAAAACGGGGTGTCATTGGAATTGAGAAAAGTCTGCTTTTGATTGTAAAGGTGATTTTTGAGCAATAAAAACATTTTTTTAACTCTAATTTGTTCAAAACAAAACGGGCCCTACACTTCACGATTGCCCCCCAAATTACTTTGCAATGCACCAGAAATTACTGACTTTTTTTATTTTGAGCATGTGGACATGGTTGAGCGCATTTAATAATGACATACATTGCCCCAAATTCAACGAAATTGGCGCTGACTAACTCTGTAGGCCTCATCAAAATATTATTAATATTCGCGCAATGAACTTTCTCCAGTGTTCTTGGCTGGTATCTTTTTGCCCGCAATACCCACCCACGTCAAATCATCGGGATGATCGATCGTCGCATCTCCTCATGCTTGGAAAACACATCTCGGTTTTCGCAAATGAAGTCCGTGTATCGAGCCTTCTGTTTCTCATTTAATTGGGCTGAGGAACGATGGAACATTTCTAGCATGTAGTTTCTGGAAGTTAGCCCTTCTGTAATCCTGTCCTCTGCTCTGCCGTAGCTTGTTCAACCCTTTCCCCCACTGTTTTCCCAAGTTAAAAAAAAGCCTCCTACATGTAGGACGTACATTGTAATTCCTTGTGGTTTGATAGCTGTTGCAGAGTAATGTTAATGACTGTCAGAAAGATCAAAATAAAAATAGTCATTTTATGGTCAGACAAGGGCCGGACTCAGTCCAAGTCCTTGAACCCTTACATCAAAGCCTAAACCTCCGAAATCCGAGTCCGTGATAAATGGACTGGAGTCCAGTCCCACATCAGTGACGTACACATGTGATGCATGCGAGGCTGGAAAAGCTGTCATTGCCAATGTGAACAGTAGGCGGGACCTGATGATTCGGTCTATTCCCCCCCCCCCTCCCAGTACACCCCCTTCCCCTGACCTTTAAACCTGAATTATTTTTCTGTGTCATCAACACTTTCTGGTACAGTTTTAAGACCCTGAAAGACGATAGGTATCGGTATCGGTATGTTCATTTTATTGGACATGTGCATATGTATCGTAACGTTTATGCATATGTAGTACTTGTGAAGTGCATTGAAAAGGTAGAGAGTCCTCCCCCCCCCCCCCCTCTCTCTCTCTCTCTTGGCAAATTAAGTTGTTGGGGGCTCCCCTCCTTTCAACTCCCCCCCCCCCCCCCCCTTTTGTAAACAATTTTTAAACAACCATGAATTGATGCTGTAGTGTAGCCATCCATTTCTGTCAACGTGTTCTTGTACCGATATAAAGGGAAAACATGATTTAAAGTGCACATCCAAGCATCTAGTGAGTCCAGCCCCCCCCCCCCCCCCCCCCCCCCCCCCCACCCCCAGTTTCAAAACTGTTCCGCTGCCACTGTATTTGCACAGAAAATTAAACCTTGATTCTTATCCTTTATTCCTAACCTCCCCAACTCCACCAAAATCCATCCTCCCATTTTGGTGGATTTTCGGGGAATTGATCCTGCAGGCCTGGTTTGACTAAATACTGATGGAATATGATGGACTTGGGCCTGGAGACCTGAAGCAAAGCATGCATTGCAAGCAGTGTGATTGATGGATTTTGTGGACTTGGTCCAGTACTTAGTAAAAGAAAGTAGGGAGTTAATAATGATATTCTGTATTTCTCTTCTTTACAGACTCTTCCAGCAGTTCACACAAGAAGCACAAGAAACACAAACACCATAAGAAACATCACAAACACAAGAGGGGTCATCATGACAGCTCCAGTCCACTACGCAGCCCTGAACCAGTCCTATCCTCTGAGCCTATCATGAGTGACCCATCTGGCAAACCACAACTGAAGCTCAAAATCAAGATTGGAGGACAGACACTGGGGACAAAAAGGTTGCTGGGATTTATTGCTAATATGCTGGATAGAAATTATATTTGCATATAACATTATACAAATATTGAGTGGCTCAGCGTGGAATGGGAGGAATATTATCGCAAGGTAAAATCTGGACTTTTCCATTTCACGAGGCGAAGCCGAGTGAACTGGAAAAGTCAAGATTTTACCGAGCGATAATATTCCTCCCATTTCACAATTTAAAGCCACTCAATATTTGTTTTATATAACTGACATATAGATCCTTGTCATTTGATATATTTGAACTTTTTTTTTCAATACAAAACTGAAGGAAAATCTTTTTCTCTCTTCCAAACCACCCCTTCACGAAAATGTTTGAACCTAATGCTGTAGCGCTGGCTCTTTGGAACAATACGCGCAACGCTGAACGCGCACACCAGCATTCATTTGCACACAAATACCGGGTCATGATCTAACTTTTGAATAGTAGTTCCCATTCCCCATGGGTACTTTTGGAGCCGCAGCATGAATGGGAGCAATAACGAATGTCATGTGATGTGAGTTCGACCAATCAAATGACTAGGATCTGTATGTCAGTTATATCAACGTGTATATTAACCCCATTACCTTCCAGAGCCAGTAAGATAAGTTTGCAGAAACATGGATGTGAAATTTATCGCTTTTGTGATTTTGTGTTGGTTCTGAGAAGAACTGGTTTGGACTCAACATTTCGGACAGCATACTCTGGCCATCGTCAGGAGACTGAGGGGATTCCAACTTGGAGGTGGCGTATAAGAAACCTTTGGGAGAAGTGTTGAAGCGTGGTGTAAAAGCTGGGATCCTGGAGACCAAGTTTGGATGCATGCTCACTGGTGTTTTTCAGTTTGGTCAGTTTGAAGCAGAGGGATGGGTTGCCAAGGGAATAGGAGACCCATCGGTTGGCTGAGGTTGGTCCTTGGGCATGGAGACCCATTGAATCCGTGGGCTAGGAGGGGGCGCTAGATGATGGAGAAACTGATGTCTTGGGGTACTGGATGTGTTGTGCTTGATGATGTTGATCTGGATCTTGTAGGATGTAATGCCTTGGTAGGGAGGGTGATGGAAATGGTGGCCCTAGGGAGTTTACCTTTGATATAGGCGACCCTTTGGTTGGGGGAAGAAGTCTTGTATCTTGAGTCTTGACTTTGCTTGGTCTGTAGCCGTTGCATTGGAGAGCAGTGGTGATGTGTCTCAGCTGCCAAATCTACTTGGAGGTTTTGCAGGGTTTTGCAGGATTAAAGGGACACTACATGTAGGTCCTGGAACAGCCCAATTGGGCTACAAAACACGCTTTGAACGAGATGATGTTAATCAGAAATAACATTTAAAAGTTGGATATAAACATCCACACAACTATCCTTTCAAAACTGGGCGTTTTTGTGTTATTCCTGTATTATGCGTGTGAGAACGAATTTCGGGGTCCACTTTTGCGACCCCATAAATTCAAGCTGTTATGACGCTAGTTGTGATTTCAGTTGTAAAGTGTTCGCCTTTTGCGGACGTTGAAGAAACCATTTTTTTCTGCATTGATGGTGATTGGTCACCGCTGTTCCCGAGACACACAACGTGTATATCGTAAACTGAGAAGGACAGAAAAAACATATTCGTACTCCTTCATGTCCGATGTAAACAAGCGGGTTTTTTTTCGTCTTTTCTCGGCAACGGTAAGACATTAGGTTGGTTTCCTTTCAACCAGATGTTTGAAATAGGCTAAGTAAACAATCCAAAATATAAAATTTTCGGAGATTTCAGGACCTAGTGCCCCTTTAAGGAAACAGAGGCTGGCCACTGTTCCTGTACATGTAAACACAAAGATTGTGGCATAGGGTTCAGCCACAGTGATGAATGTTGGAGAATTTAGAAAACATCCATACAAAAATACACGGAAGTGAGGGTTAGTTTGTCAGGAATTGTGATTATATTCTTTTTATACAAATGTGGTTAAGTTTGGTGTTGAAATGCTTCGTCAATATCACTGTAATTTGACATTCATTAATACATGTAGCTGACTACATGTACATGTACCTATTCGTATTGGTCAAAGTCAGTCATGTGGGTGGTTTTAAACTACTGTTTAAACATCGCTTGGTGTTTGATCACATTGCATTGCTGATATGATCTCCATATAGAGATGATGAGCACACATCCGTCAAGCACACAGTACAAGTGGCCGGAACGTGGATTAAAATGGTAGAACAAAATATTTGGAAGTTTGTCAGCTTTGGACATTTTATTCTTGACCGTGAAAGTATTTATTACATATGGGTAGTAGACTATCGCACTGGTTACCAGTGCCCTAGTTGTCTACACATGCGCTTTACTAAGCAATCGTGGAACTAGCACACAGGGGTAGTGCGCATGTGCAAGCATCACCTTAGCAGCATGCAGCAGCTACATGAAAAGATGGGGCACACGCACAACATTTTGCCGAGAAAACTTATGCGTAACTTCATGACATTTTTGTGAATGTATGACGTAGGGCCTATAGTAAAACAAATTAAACTTGGTTTAGTTTGGGTGGATAGTTAATATTAGCTGCCCTCGGTATTGGAAGTTGACAGACTACCGGTAGTTCCCGAGGTGAATACGTCGGGGAGCTAATATCGACTATCAACCCTCAAACCATGTTACTATTGTCCCACCAGTAACCTCACTTGCCATTGAAAGTGTTGTATAGTTGGGAGTGCGTGTGAGCATGCGCAGGTTAGCTACTTCTATTTTCCCAACGTATTGGTACATTGACCAACTATGAAAACGCAGTTTATTCCTAAATATGCTATCCCACACACGTGCATTATGGTGCATATCTTTCAACTGGTTGGTGGTACCATTCCTAAATATGCTATCCCACACACGTGCATTATGGTGCATATCTTTCAACTGCTTGGTGGTACCATTCCTAAATATGTTATCCCACACACGTGCATTATGGTGCATATCTTTCAACTGGTTGGTGGTACCATTCCTAAATATGCTATCCCACACACGTGCATTATGGTGCATATCTTTCAACTGGTTGGTGGTACCATTCCTAAATATGCTATCCCACACACATGTATGCATTATGGTGCATATCAATGTACCATTCCTAGATATGCTATCCCACACACGTGCATTATGGTGCATATCAATGTACCATTCCTAAATATGCTATCCCACACACGTGCATTATGGTGCATATCAATGTACCATTCCTAAATATGCTATCCCACACACGTGCATTATGGTGCATATCTTTCAACTGGTTGGTAGTACCATTCCTAAATATGCTATCCCACACACGTGCATTATGGTGCATATCTTTCAACTGCTTGGTGGTACCATTCCTAAATATGCTATCCCACACACGTGCATTATGGTGCATATCTTTCAACTGCTTGGTGGTACCATTCCTAAATATGCTATCCCACACACGTGCATTATGGTGCATATCTTTCAACTGCTTGGTGGTACCATTCCTAAATATGCTATCCCACACACGTGCATTATGGTGCATATCTTTCAACTGCTTGGTGGTACTATTCCTAATGTTCGTGCATATCTTCCAACTGGTTGGTAGTACCAGGGAAATGGTAGCTTAATGATGAACGAGTGCTAAAAACAATCTCTTGTGGACACCCGTTATAGCGACTTTCTACTTTATGGTAAAACTTTGTTGACAAGGTTTGTGTTGTTTTCCCGCATAGTTATGACAAAGTCATCTCTCCACGTTTCTCGAGTGAAGATGAAGATGAGGACGAAGACGAAGATGACGATATGGAAGAGGCAGACATTGAGGAGGCAGGAGATGATGATGAGGAGGAGGAGGAGGAGGAGGAGGATATGGAAGATGTTGAGGCTGAGCAAGTGGAGGTGGTGCAAGATGATGAAGATGAAGGAGAAAGATTTACCCCATGGCAAGGTATTGCACACCTTGATTCAAGACTTCAAATTTATGAAGCCAGTTCAGTATTCAAAGAGTGTACCGGTATGCACACATCCAGATTTGATGACTTTGATTTTGGGATAACCAGTCTGTTGTATGCATGCCGAATTATAGAGGGTAACAACAATATTGAAAAGTGCTTGTTCTGAAGTAAAAACAAAGCTGAAAGATGCACTGTGTTTTCTTTTCAAAAAATTATTTTCCATTAACCAATATTCAATTTTTATGTTTTATTGTTATCCCAGAAAACTCTACTTTTTATCCATTTTGGGTATCTTCAACCCTTTAAAAAAAAAAGGTTTATCTGCCGCACAAGTAGACTGGTTGCGGTCCCCACATTATCAATACTGATATTTTCATTTTCATAAAAAAAGTACCCTGCGCCAAAAAAAAGTTGATTAACTAATCAAAAATATGATTCTTAAAATTAATGTGGCCTGACGTTGCGAACTTAGCAAGTTCTTCTTCAGAGGCTAAAACAGAAATGTGATTGTAAACTTGGGCTCCACAAAAAGCCTTGTTAACATCTCCTGTGTGTGAAGTACACGCTCTGTCACCACATCTTTGTCTTTCAGATCAGACACCTCCAGCCTCCATCCATGGATCACCTTCAGAAAATCCTGATGAAGAGGAGGCTTGGCTTGATGCCTTGGAGGCAGGCCAGCTGGATGATTATGGGGAAATCAAACGAGACAAAGATCCTTCCTTACTCACAGCTAGGCAGGTAAACAAATTAATGGTCAGTTTTGTTGTCAAGTCTCAAAGTGGCAGAAATGCACATTGTCTAGCTGCAATATTTCAGTCACCCTAGTCAAGAGTCAAGTCACTCTGGTCAAGTGTCAAGTCACTCTGGTCAAGTGTCAAGTCACTCTGGTTAAGTGTCAATTCACTCTGGTCAAGTCTCAAGTCACTCTGGTCGAGTGTCAAGTCACTCTGGTCAAGTCTCAAGTCACTCTGGTCAAGTCTCAAGTCACTCTGGCCAGGTCTCAAGTCACTCTGGTCAGGTCTCAAGTCACTCTGGTCAAGTCTCAAGTCACTCTGGTCAAGTCTCAAGTCACTCTGGTCAAGTCTCAAGTCACTCTGGTCAAGTCTCAAGTCACTTTGGGCAAGCCTCAAGTCACTTTGGTCAAGTCTCAAGTCACTCTGGTCGAGTCTCAAGTCACTTTGGTCATGTCTCAAGTCATTCTGGTCAAGTCTCAAGTCTCTCTGGTCAAGTCTCAAGTCACTCTGGTCAAGTCTCAAGTCACTTTGGGCAAGCCTCAAGTCACTCTGGTCAAGTCTCAAGTCACTCTGGTCAAGTCTCAAGTCACTCTGGTCAAGTCTCAGTCACTCTGGTCGAGTCTCAAGTCACTCTGGTCAAGTCTCAGTCACTCTGGTCAAGTCTCAAGTCACTCTGGTCGAGTCTCAAGTCACTCTGGTCAAGTCTCAAGTCACTCTGGTCAAGTCTCAAGTCACTCTGGTCAAGTCTCAAGTCACTCTGGTCAAGTCTCAAGTCACTCTGGTCAAGTCTCAAGTCACTCTGGTCAAGTCTCAGTCACTCTGGTCGAGTCTCAAGTCACTCTGGTCAAGTCTCAGTCACTCTGGTCAAGTCTCAAGTCACTCTGGTCAAGTGTCAAGTCACTCTGGTCAAGTCTCAAGTCACTCTGGTCAAGTCTCAAGTCACTCTGGTCAAGTCTCAAGTCACTCTGGTCAAGTCTCAAGTCACTCTGGTCAAGTCTCAGTCACTCTGGTCGAGTCTCAAGTCACTCTGGTCAAGTCTCCAGTCACTCGGGTCAAGTCTCAGTCACTCTGGTCGAGTCTCAAGTCACTCTGGTCAAGTGTCAAGTCACTCTGGTCAAGTCTCAAGTCACTCTGGTCAAGTCTCCAGTCACTCTGGTCAAGTCTCCAGTCACTCTGGTCAAGTCTCAGTCACTCTGGTCAAGTCTCAAGTCACTCTGGTCAAGTCTCAAGTCACTCTGGTCAAGTCTCAAGTCACTCTGGTCAAGTTTCAGTCACTCTGGTCGAGTCTCAAGTCACTTGTCAAGTCTCAAGTCACTCTGGTCAAGTCTCAAGTCACTCTGATCAAGTGTCAAGTCACTCTGATTAAGTGTCAAGTCACTCTGGTCAAGTGTCAAGTCACTCTGGTTAAGTCTCAAGTCACTCTGGTCAAGTCTCAAGTCACTCTGGTCAAGTCTCAAGTCACTCTGGTCAAGTCTCAAGTTACTCAAGTGAAGTTTCAATTCGCTCTTGCCACATCTTAATTTTCTCTGAAGTCACTCTGAATGTTAAGTCTCAAATCCATGTTTCAGGTATTTAATGATGTTTCAAGTAATTTATGACACAGAAAATGGACTTTCAAAATGGCAGACATGGATTGGATTAAATTTTCTGTAATATTTCATTTGTTGATAAATGTTATTGTCCAGAGAGCAATGCTTCACGGGATGTCTGCAGAGGAGGAGAAGCAATTATTGCAACTACCTAGCGGAGCTAAACCCCCTGAGATGACTGTTGAGATGCTCGAGAAAAAAGCTGAGAAGGCTCAGAAGAGACGAGCGCAGGCGCACAAGAAGGTGGAGGAACATAAGGTAAGGTATTGAGGGAACTGTGCATTTCTGAAGATCAAAGCACTCTTTGTCGTGGCTTGGAAAAGATGACATGAATCAGTGCCGTAGTTGAGCACATTTCCCATCAGTATGGGTACGGGTACGAGTACCTGTACTTTGTCATGAGTACGAGTACCAAAAAATGTACTCGAGTAGAAGTACTTTTCACCAGTAGGTGAACAAATGCAAAAGTCTCCCAAAAATTAGAAAATTTTGTTCTTTTCCTGCATGTAGCTCTTAAACTTTTTTAAAATTCTTACAGGATAACATTTGCAAGAGTATGAGCACTTTGTCATGAGTAAGAGTACGGGCAATTGTTTGGGTTTTTTTCTTACCAGTACGGGTACATGTAAAAAGTACATTTTTATGAGTACAAGTATGAGTACCAAAAAATGTAGTCGAGTACGAGTAATTCAACACTGCCCTCAATATAGACTCAATGTAGCACTGGTTGCACTCGTGAAATCATTGAAAAAGAGGAGTTTAGACCTCCTGCAGTCTGTGGGTCTGATGAAGATAACAGACAAGATCAGGCAAGGCAGACTGAGATGGTATAGTGGGGCGCTGTGCTCCAGTGGTTACGGTGTCTGATTTATGTGCCGTGGTACATGAGTTCGAATCCTGACCGTGGGAACATGGTGCTTGTGCTCTTGAGCAAGGCATTATACCATTATTGCTTCATCCTTCGGATGGGACGTAAAGCCGTAGGTTCCCGTGTGTTGTGTAATGCACGTTTAAGAACCCAGTAATACTTATTGCTAAGAGAAGGGGTTTGCCCCAGGGTTTCTGGCAGTGGCTGCAATATGCGGCGCAGCACCTTGTCAACCCTTATAAGGTGCTACATATTGGGTCTCATATTTCTCATATACTTTATTTACCTTTCTTTAATAATAGACATAATTTCCAGCGCCTTGAGTACCTAATTGTTGGTAGATACATATAAGACTCCGTTATTATTATTATTAGTATTAATAGCAAGAAGGAAGGAAAGTCATTGGCTGTAGAAAGCATGGAACTTTGAAATAGTCGGTCCGATAGGAAGGTCTGGGATGAGACACTGGTAGAAGACCTGAGACTCTCAAACCTCGCCAATGTGGATGTCAGAAATCGGACTGCATGGAACAGGGCCATTAAGGAAAGACAACGTCTCACCCCACAGCATGGGAAATATGGATTTTATATGGAAATAATGATGACTGTGTACAAACACTAGTACATGTATGTGTACTTCACGGGGTACACACGACCGGTTTTTATTTGCTAACGTGCACAACTCTTCAAGTTTGTGCATGAGATACATGCCATGATTGTGCATGCATGATATCCTTCAATATCGCATACTTTTTCATTTCTACCCAGTAAGGGGGAAACTGGATCATGGATTCCAAATTGGACCGATTTACATCCTAGTCTGGTACGCTTAATATCCAAAAAGGACTTCTGGAAAGATCATTGTTTCCACATAGAAATAATTACTTTTAGTACAAAAAAGGCAACAATCTTTCATCACCCACAGCTTAAAATATTTTTCAAATTCAGAAAAGCAGTTAAGTGATTGCCCAAACTACACACAGAGTTTCCAGCACTGAAGCAAATTAACAAGCTTTATCACACTTGTTCGTCTCCTTAATGCATAACTGCTGGCTTTTCATTCTTTTGTAGGAGTATTGTTTACTCTCTCGCTTTGTCAGTGTTTAATGTTTTTGCTTATGAATTTGTTTAATTTTATGTCCAACAGAAACAAACCATTGCAAGACTGTTGAAGAAACAAGACAGCAAGTTAAAAGGAATGAAGGTAAGGGCTCATTATCTGCCTTGTGCAAACAAAAGCAGATGAGGTCAGTCAAATATTGGACTGAAAGTACATTCCAGAGTAATGTTCTGCCGACCCGAACCGAAACCGACCCGACCCGAAACCGACTTCAGGTCAGGTCCGCTTGTCCATCATTTTAATCCATCATTTTAGTCTGGTCGGGTTGGGTTGGGTCGGTTTCGGTTTTGCGTTTGCGATTTTCGGGTTGGACCGGGCCGGTTAAGCCATTTTGGAAAAATCCGAAATAAATCAAAATAAACTGAAATGAACTGAAACAGTATGGAAATTCACATTGTGCACTTTTTAGTGTAGAGTAAATGCTTTGCGGTGTCTCGATCGGTCTATAACATGTAGGCCCACCAGTAGGTCACGTTGTGAGTGCCGCACGGCATGATTCAGTTACTGAAAGCCAACATTTTTTTACGCTAAGCGGGTCAGTTCAGGTGCAAAAAGCGGACACATTTGCCGAAGCCAGATATTTTGGGCCGGTTCGGTTTTAGGTAGTCCAGTTCGGTTCTAGTTCAGATTCGGTTCATAAAATAAATTTCTCGGATTGGTTGGGCATCGTCAACCCAACCCGATGCACATCACTATTCCAGAGTAGTAAAGACAGGCGTAAGGTAGCGCTTCCGGTTGCACCTACATGCTCATATCCTGGCAAAATTGTCTCGGTTTTTGCCTTTTGATCACTGACATCAACTTCAAAAACCACACAGTCGGATCACACAGACGTAAGGATCCTCCTAGCTCCTGGATCGGAAATCCAAGTTACCTGATCGCCAACAACTTGGAATTTTGAACAGATTCTGCTCATTACTCCGAGTACAAGTACTGTACAAGGACTACGTACGCCCATAGCATTCAGCAGTGTGTTTTGGCTCGTCATTGTGCTTCAGAAATTGATTGACGCATGGCTGGATCGGCATTGTTGGCCATTGTGCTCATCCTATTGTCAGCAGTAGTCATGGTTGCCACTACAACAAACTCCTACAGCCATGATGAGTTGCTGTCGCTCAAACCTACAGGTAAAACCACAGTGCCCCTTCACGTTCACACCAGACTAAAAGAGCTTGGAATTGGTGTGCCAAGACCAACCAAAAGGGGCCGCAGATCATGGGCTAAACAACAGAAACCCATCCCCGTACTGAGCCACCAAGACATACCCTACGAGATTCACCCTGATTTTCAAGCGGGACAAAAAGGTGCAAATCCCACCAACCTCACCAACATTTCACCATGCTTACCACCCACAAAACAACTTGTTCCCACTACATTCGGTCTGTGGAATGCTCGATCGATGAAACCCAAGATCCCTATCTTATGTGATTTAATTATATCCAACCACATCGATATTATCGCCATAACTGAAACATGGCTGACTGGTGATCATCGGGATCATTGTGCTATTGCAGATCTTATGGCAACACTTCCTGACTACCAAATTCACCACATACCTCGGAAAAACAGAAATGGTGGTGGCGTCTGTGTGTATCTTCGAAGCAGCTTCAATGCCCATATGAACGAAGGTAGAACATTTGATTCATTTGAACATATTGATTTATCAATTAACGCTCGATCCCAGACCCCCTTCGGCTCATCGTAATCTATAGACCTCAGAGACTAATCGATGGACGCATGACTTCCCCTATATTTTTTCGTGAATTCTCCACACTCCTGGAATCTGTTGTGTCTGAGCCAGGACACATCGTGATTGCTGGTGACTTTAACTTCCACGTCGATGATCCATCTAATCGTGAAGCGGCAATCTTCTGTGATCTCATTGACTCTGCTAATCTCGAGCAGCATGTGACTGGCCCCACTCACCGCGAGGGCCACACACTGGACCTCATCTTGTCACGTTCAGCAGATGACACAGTTTCACGTGTTGTCACCACTAATTACCTGCCCTCCGATCATGCCGCTGTCAAATGTTTACTGAACGTCAGTCGGCCCGATCCGGTCAAAAGAGACATCAAACTTCGAGAAAACCGAATATCACAGGACACAACTTGCCGACTGCGATTCTCAACAACTGTTTCGCAAAGTCGACAAATTATGCACCCCGAAATCTTCAAGAACCCTTCCGCCAGAGAATGAACCAGAGTCACTAGTGGATCGTTTCTCACATTTCTTTTCCAATAAGACCCAGACCATCATTGCCGAACTTGATAACGCTTCAACAGTTGAGACAACAGTACCAGTGGCCGACTCGTGCGAGACATCTTTCACTGGATTTGACATCCTTTCTGATAGTTCTGTCAGAAAGTTGATCACCGGGTCACCTTCAACAACATGCAGACTTGATCCAATTCCCACATCGTTACTGAAGAAGTGTCTAAATGAACTCACTCCCATCATCACAACAATCATCAATCTCTCCCTTGAGAACGGCCATTTTCCTGATGCTTTCAAATCTGCCCACATCACCCCCCTGCTCAAGAAACCCAACATGGATCCGGAACCACTAAAAAACTACAGACCTATTGCCAATTTGAAATTTCTCGCTAAGATAACTGAACGCGCAGCTTCGTCTCAGGTCCAAGATTATCTTCTCGAGAACAGTCTTCACAGCAACATGCAGTCTGCATACAAGCGTCGTCATAGTGTGGAGACGGCTCTTCTCCGAGTGAACAACGACTTGTTACTAGCTGCTGACAAGGGCCAAGAGGCGGTTCTTGTCCTACTGGACTACTCCGCAGCCTTTGACACCATCAACCACGAGATCATGCTTCATCGTCTTTGTCACAGGTATGGCATATCCGGCCATGCTATCAATTGGTTCGAATCTTACTTCAAACACCGTACTCAGCACATTTCAATAAATGATGACCTATCTGACGCTTATGTCCCTGAAGTCGGTGTCCCTCAAGGATCTGTGCTGGGACCCTTGTGTTTCATAATGTACACATCCCCCTTGAGGACATAATCGAGGCCCACGGTGTCGGAAAAATGATTTATGCTGACGACACTCAAGTTTACATCATTTTGAAAGAGCGGGATCGACCTACAGCCATTCCCCAGTTAGAACTCTGCCTTAACGACATCAAATCATGGTCCACAGCAAATAAACTGAAATTAAATGCAGACAAAACGGGTCCTTCATATAACATCCTGCCATAGAAGCCATACTCAACTCCCCCCTGTTCATATCGGCAACTCTTCCCTCCAGCCCGTTTCTAAGGTACGAAACCTAGGTGTTACAATGCAACCTAATCTACAAATGGACATGCACATCAATAGCATCTGTCGGTCTGCATCATTTGCCCTTCATAAAATCGGACAGATCCGCAAATTCCTCGACCCGCACACAACAGAAAAGCTTGCTCATGCATTTATTACTTGTCGCCTAGATTTTTGCAACAGTTTACTTCAAGGGCTACCAGACTCACAAATCGCCAAACTCCAACGCATCCAAAACTCAGCTGCAAGACTAGTCACCCTCTCGAAGCCCCATCAACCCATATCACCTATTCTCCGTAATCTGCACTGGCTCCCAGTCAAGAGGAGGATAATCTACAAAACCCTTCTCCTAACATACAAATGTCTCCATCGTCTCGCCCCTACTTACCTCCAGCAATTAATCCATAAATATGAACCCCGTAGAAATCTTCGATCAAGCTCACAATCCCTGCTCGCCTGCTCCTCAACATCGACAAGGTCATACGGTCAGCGAGCGTTTTCATCTGCAGCCCCAACCCTCTGGAACAAACTACCCAATCACATCAAGAAAGCCCCAACCCTGGACGTTTTCAAAGCTAATCTTAAAACCCATCTGTTCACTGCAAATGAAATATAATGTTAATTATTATTAAACAAAGTTGATGCTAAAGCTGAAAATTATTCTTGCTAAATTATTGTGCTCAAAGCATTTGTTTAATTAAGGTTTTTGTGACCCTCTGCATGGGATGAACAGCCAAATTTGTAAAGCCTACGAAAACCTTTTTTCTGGAGTTCAAATTCACACTGTTATGGTTCCCACAGCCTGGGAACAACCTGAAAAAGTCGTAGAAATGTATTTCAATTTCCAGGCCTGGTAAAGTCATGGAACTGTTTAATAATTACAAATGGCAGGGAAAAATGCGACAAATTTTGCTGATAGAAGCGTTTTGATTTCAAAAGACATTTTTGCTATTTCTTGTTCTTCTGTTTTACAGTTTTGATCTGCATTTTGATGAACTAGGTCATGGATTTTCATAATTTGGTCATGGAACGGTCGTAGAATTTGATTGTCGTAAAGGCGTAGGAACCCTGTGTTAACATTATTTTACATTTGACACAACCCGTCTTTATTAAGAATTCATCCATTCTCATATTTGACAGTTTATTCAAAACTTGTTGTGTAAGAGGCATAGCTTGTTGATCAGATTTGTGGTCGGAATTGTTTTCTGTCATAATATCCATCCATTTATTTATTTGTTTGTTAAAGGCCAGATCAAGGCGTGGAGCTGATTCACCTCGCATTCGCTACGTTAGTAACATGCACAGAGTGACTCTATCATTCCCACTGGGTATGCACTATCCACTGGACAAGCAAGTGGCACAGTAAGTCAAGCATTACAAGGAGGGAAAGAATGTTGCAACCTTACCCTGCTTTTTTCTTCATATATCATCTCAATGAAGGTCAGTCATTGCAAAAATGATGACAAGACATGAATTTGGGACTGAGAAACATTTCCTATTTTGTTAGGAAAATTCTTGACGCTCCGTAGGCTTTGTACACAACTGCTGAAGTAGCGTCAGGTTGCAACATTCTTTCCACAACGAGTGCACTGTGTGTAATCTCACTAGAGTGGAGATTCCTGGTCTCAATTTATTTTTTATTTTTTCTGTAGATGACAGAAGCCATCCTCATGTCACATTCAGTACTTTTGAGGAAAAAGTTACCAGATAGCTTCTCATACTTGTCACAATAAAGGAAATCCTCCAAACCACAAAGGAATATAAGTTCCAAATTGGTATGAACTAAAAAAAACTCTGGTAGAGAAAAAAAAAACAGGGGAAAACCTTGAAATAAAGACAAAAAAACAAAAGGATTTGAACCAGGCATCACAATATGCATTGTCAAATGTGATGCGATCAAGCTACCGGTAAATGAGTCGTTTGTCGACCTGGTCAACAATTTTTTTTATTACAGATTTGAAAAGAGCACAATCTCAGCATTACTGCTGTGAAAACTGTATGCTGATACCATCTTTAGTTCAAAAATTATGGAAGTCAGAACACCAAGAGATGTGATGAAGTGATGTGAAGTGGCCCTATTTTGGCCTGAATCTCCAAATGAAAATTCCTGACAAACTCATTTAGCTTGATCGCATTGCAAATGCAAAATGGCTGCTGCAGTTGCTTTGACAAATTCTTTGAATAGCTGTATATACATGTAGTTTTGTTTTATGAATAAACATAAAATTTCCCTCATGATACCACTGAATTTAATCATGAAAATGGCTTTACCTGCCGACAAAAAACTATTTGCTTTCTGGTCCCTCCATTATGTATGTATAATTATGTATTGTACAACACCTGAATAAATCCCATCTTCTGATTGGTGGATCGTTGATCACATGTCATTGAATTATTCGTCCCAACTCACCTCACCGCAGCACCACAAAAATAGAAGTTCTATTGCACGGTGAATAGATCCAGTAACATGATCAGGTAATCTCCATTCCATCAATAATCATCTCCAAGGAATCTCCAGCTCAAAAATTAATCATACCCCCAAAATAATCAATTTACCATTCATTTGGCAAACCACAACGAATAAACAGACCAAAGCAACACTCATTCACTCACTCACTCGCTCGTTCGCCCACAGGTGGGGTCAAGTATTGTTATCAAGTAACTCCGTCTCTCATGAGGGCGGCCAGTTTGTCTGTCGATTCTACACCGATGTTCTGTTGCAGCGACCCATACTTAGAAACATGTTAAATTGTAACTTGTAAATATTGCTTTCAATGTTATTTGACTTTTCTGCAGAGCTCCTAAGCCAGTGGTTGTATGTGGAGCAGCAGGTTGCAGTAATCCTAAGAAGTACTCTTGCTCCAAGACTGGGATCCCTCTATGCAGCTTGGAGTGTTACAAGAGGAACTTAGTGGCAGTACAGCCAGTCACTTGTGCATCTTAAGCATTCCTATAAATCCTTCAAAACGACCTGGTCAAATGAAGCACAAAGAAGGGTACTATTGGGCTCCTGTGCCGCGGGGATTGGGAGGATTTCAGATGTCCTAGCACAATAGAAATAGGGTTAAAAAACAGTGCAGTCCTCTGAGCCAGTAAAGTAATGAAATGGTCCGGGGTTGGGAAAAAATGTTGCAACCTGAGGCCACTTCTGCGAATGTGTACAAAGTCTATGGAGAGTCAAGAAAAATTTTCTAAGTATTTCCTAGCCTTGACCAAGGCGTTGCGGGCTTATCGATTCGCCGATAAAAAAAAAAAATCGCCGATAACAAAATCCCTAATCAACTTGGCAAGGCATAATTGCGTGCACATATCGATGCCCGTACGCTGCTAGTGAGAAAGTAACTTGTACCATACAGCAAGGCTATGCTTGTACATGTACATACGCACGTACATCACACACGTACTCGTACAACAGCCATGCACACACAGTACATGTACATGTACATGTACATGTACAAGTACATGTACGAGCTAGTCCGCGTAACGTTCGACAGGCCACGCGGCGCGTATATCCCCCACACGTACGTACGTACACCCACACGCAGAACATAGTAGGCCTACATTTACTGCCTTATTACACCATGCGTACAGTCCGTACTCACGTGTGTGTGCTTGCTGGTTGTGTTAGTACCGAACCGTTCGTACGGACAAGGGTCGGTGGTACACGCACGGACAAGGGTCGGTGGTATACACGCACGTAACCGCGTTGATTGTGGGTGCTAGGGCCCGATTATCTCCCTTCGACAAAAAGCCGAGAGACCGCATTGAACAAGGCTAAGTATTTCCTAACAAAATTGGAAATATTTCTCAGTCCCAGATTCATGTCTTATCATCATTTTTGCAAGGAATGACCTTCATTGAGATGATATATGAAGAAAAAAGTGGCGTCAGGTTGCAACATTCTTTCCCGGGGTTGAAGTCTAGATTTATAGGTAAGAGAAATGCTGACTTTTAATACTGGTAGTATTGCGCAGGCCTACGTGAGGATCATGAACTTTCAACCAATTAAACGGTACTGTGACTGGATTTCATTGGAGTAACAATTCCATGTGACACTGGAAAAGTGTTTTAAGACCAGCCAGCCATGTCTTTATCAACCATTTAAAACCGGCCACGTAACAGGCACTCAACCAATAGGAAGGGGTAAACTGGTACATGTATTTATGAATGCAATTTAAAATGTACCTTTGTTAAAGTGACCCCATTTGGCTTCACTTGTTATATTTATATTGCCATTTCAAGAATGTTTTGGTGCTTCCATACTCATGTGCAAAATGGTGATGTCATTCAAAGCAGAAACCTCAGTGTTGGTAGCTGCTTCAGCATAAGGTTCTGCATAAGGCAAAAAAAAAACATTGTTTCCAATTACATGTACAGCATTTGAAAATAGGGTAGGTACCGTAGGTACCATAGGTAGGGATTTTTTTTTTGCAAATTTTTGTGTGCACGATCGTATGGAGGCGTCTGTGAGTAGTCAAGGGTAAAAGGTAGTACATTTTGTAATTGATGGTTTGGGTCGGTTTTTTTCTTCTCATTTGTCCCATAAGCAAATTAGGGTAGGGGCTGTCAGAAACTGGAAGCAGAACTGGTAGGGAAACTGGAAGCAGAACTATTTCTTTTGGCCTAAACAAATTGCCAGAATTTTGGATTTTTTTTGCTGTGGTAGATTTTTTACTTTTCGTGATTCGTTGTAATTTTCAGTTTATTTTCAATGAGCAAACAATATGCACGAGTATCTTCAATGCACAATTTGAACAGAAAACCCCTTAAGTGCACACTGTTTGGCTTGAATGACGTCACAGCAACGAAGTCCTCTGTTGTTGAGAGACCATGGTACATTGCAGAGGAATGGATATATCCACAAAATATTTCATGTCATGAACCCTTTAATTGAATTTAAAGGTTAATTGGGGAACTTTGATTTCAAACTAAAGACAATCGTATCAGGTCTGTGTAATGTATGCGATATGACAGTTAAATATGTAAATATGCAAATAAAGATACATGTAAATAAATTTGTAGAAATACACAAATTTTGTTTAAAAGTTTGCTTCCTTTTTTAAGATATGAGACTTGCCGCACCTACTCTGCGGCCTGTCCTGCTTTGTGGACGAACCCCCACCGTGCAGACAATTGTGTGCTTCACTCAAACACCGGCAATCTTTGACCCCCTACTTGTATTGTCCCTAATCCTCATTCCTTTGTGTCTACTCCAGCTTTTTATCAACAAGCTGTCATTGGTTTTGTACACAAATTTCAATCATGGACGTTCGGTCACTCGTGGACGTTTGTATCGGTGTTTACATACTCGATACATACTTGTTCCGTAGTTACATTATGGGGACTACACACGAGCGTGCCAGTACTATGGGGACGTGATTACATAAGGATGTTTCACATGCGTGTCCTCAATATAACGACAAACAAACCCACCCTTTGCTCTTAGTATAGTATAGACAAATCTGGCACTTGATCACCGTACACTCATGAGGCACCATTCAAGATGCCATTGAGCACTCTATTGTACAACATAACTGCTCCTAGATGGATAATCTGAACAATAGCTAGCACAATGCTTTTGCCATTGAAGGGGGCCTTCGTGATAGAATTGACAGCATGCCCCGATTGGTCTATAGCAGTGATGGACAATCACACAAGTAATTTGATACTCTCGTCACGGTAATATTTGTATAAGATTTGTTTTAATTTAATAACTTAACTTTCAACGACAGATACACTTTAAAAATATGTCCAAATAAATGAGTGTGATCCTATCTTATGCAGAAGTAAGGCCACTGATTTTCCCTCTTCGATATGATTTTCCTTTTCAATAAATCATACATTCTGTTTCAACTACAAAAACTAAGAAACTTGTTACCTGCCTTATCATGTATGTTATGTGAATGTGATTGATGTGAAACGGAAATGACTGAACAAAGTTTCTGTCAAACTATTACCCTTTGGGCGATCACTAGTGACTGCCCTATGTATTAAAGAGTAATAATCCTTAGAATTAAAAAGTGAACAGAAATTAAATAATTTTCCCCCTTTTTTAATGTCTTTAGGTGCACATGGTTATGCGGTTTAAAAAAAACCCTGAACGTTATCTCAAAAGAAAAATGAATTTTTATTTATTCAATTCAGTTTTCCAGGGAAATGTTTAAGAGGAAAATCAGTTACCCTACAAAAGAGATTAGAACAAGACTATTAAAGATAAACACCAGGCACATTATTAAAAACAATAGAACATTTGGCCATTTCCAACAAGTGAAGAGAGAAACGTTAGGAATGGTTTACACATACAGATATTTACACGTGCAAATTTAGATAGAAACACAAACACATATCAAAATAAATATATATATAAATATTTTTAATATTGACCAAAAAAGTTTACTATTACATGGTCTGAGACACAAAGTCGACGATACTAAACATATACTTCATTTCTTCCTCCTTGGTATTAAGTCTGGTCATTTTCCCCTTGATTTCATGTACTAAAAAAATAAGGTTTACTAAGGCTTTGCACCTTGGCAATGGTTTTCAGAAGAGAATGGAAGGCCCAAATCAGATCAGTCCAGGTGGAGTGAAGAAATCTCAGATCACAATGTAAAGGAAGTCACACGTCTGCGCAAAGGAGAGAAATATGTTTATAAGCATTGATGATATTGTCCTAAAGATACCCTCGTTTTTTTTCAACAAGTTCTATTTTCTTTCTTCTGATGATTTTTCCTCTCTAAATGGAAAAAAACCCACCATTTTTAAGTGCGATTTCAAAGTACAACAGGGCAATCCACGCAAAAGCGGACATTTTGTCATTCCGTAGCAGACCTCATTATTATTCATAACTCGTAAATGAAAGAAGTTTTTCAAAAGATGAAAGTGGAAATATAAGGTACTACGTTTCATTTTCACCTTCACTTTTTGAAAAGAAAATTTGTGTTTTCATTTACGAATTAGGAATAAATATAAGGTCAATTACAGAATGAGAAAATGTCCGCTTTTGCAAGGAATTGCACAACTTTCAAGTGCACTTAAACCATTGCTATGACATCACACCATTGTTAAAAGTGTGGATTAAGAACTACGAATCTGTTACATTGGTCACAAAGTGTGGATTCGGAACAACGAATCTTTAGTAAAGTGTGGATTCGGAATTACGAATCCACACTTTGAACATATCGGACAACTGTTCTCCATAATGAGCATTAATAGGACCGTCTGCGTGAAAACTTTCCTTCCCAAATTTCCAATGCATCTTCACTGTCAGATTCTCCGCTGTCACTGCAAAAACTACTTTGAGTCAGAAAGAAATCATTGTCTGAACTATCCATGTTGACGAAAAGAGCCTACACACAAAATGACTTGGTTGTACAGGTGTGGCGATACACATGCTAAACACGCCACAATGCTCGATTACGTATAAGATCCTCGAAAAACTCCCTTGTAAATTACCCTAATGACCATGACTCGACACGAGATATGCAAGTCTCTTCATCTTCACTCAATGGCCTGTTAATGTACGTCTGTTGACGCAATGGTTTATGTCGAAGAATACACTCGCAAGTGTGGATTCTTAATTTACGAATTCACGTGTATTCTCCTTAACAGAGAGTGTTGGCAATATGACACTACAGAAACTTTTGTCAACTTGAACCAAATTAAGTAGTAGAAGTAGCAAGTTAACTACCCACATTGTCAAGTGTTGACCAACAATTGTTTTACAGGGACCAACTACATGTAAGTCACAGAAGAATGACATTGTTAGTTTCACTGAAAAGTCCTGTGCGGACGGCCACTGCTATAACTAGAACTAACGTATGATCGTGTGGGTCACCTTTATTGACCTCTGTGATGCCCACATATGTAGGCTTACATACTGTATGTGAGATTCTACTGAATTTCTGTTGCGTTCTGCGATATTATTTTATGCATTTTCTACAATCACATCCGCTGTTGGGTTGAAAAGTCATAGCAGGGTACCCTCATAAGATTCTAAGAGAGTGCGGTAGGGTAAAGTTTATGCAACAAATCACCTTCCACGGGCCAAAATTAAGTGCAGATGCATGATAGCATGACCAATGGAATATTAACAATCACTCAACGATAACTTTTTACAAAGTTCAATAGGAACGCAACCTTAGTGTGTCAAAATGAGGTTGAATTGCTTTTTACTATTTTGAAACTTTGATAAAAGGAAAAGTCATAAAATTTCATGTTGATTGGCCAAGACGTTCCAGAGCTATTACAAAAAGGTTTGGGGATTTAAAGCTCAAATTTTGTTGCCAGATATACCTGATGCAGTCATAGATGTACTGTGTCATTACTCTAGATATCCTGGCTACAAGATGTTATAACATGTCATGACTGAAGGGTAATATTATACATGTACAAATAATGAATGTTTGTGAGCGCAATGGTAAGAATAATTTCATGAGGTGACAGATGAAATGTCGCCGAGTGGAATGGAACATTTCATCTGTCACTGACTGAAATTATTCTTTCCATTCCACGAACGTGAAACATTCATTATTTGTTTTATATAACACCTGAATAAAACCCTGTCATCTGATTGGTTGACTTTTAATAGCCAATTTATTCAGGTTAAAAACTGTTTAAAACTTCGACAAGTTCATCATATTAAATTTATGTAAACTGTTAAACAGGTTGAGAACAATCATATTCAATTTATCTCGATTTGAAACGGCGCCACCACCAGCAGCAATGACACCGTGCAATGCAAGTTCTATTCACCGTGCAATAGAACTTCCATTGCACTGTGCGCTGCACGCCACGCCCGCGTCATGCATTGGGACGAATAATTCAATGACATGTGATCAATGATCCACCAGTCAGATGACAGGGATATATTCAGGTAAAACTGAATATATCTGACAAACAGACCTTACCTGACATGATAACACCAGGTTCTGTGCATTGAAAGCATCAGTAACAGTGAAGACAGGCTGGCCATGACAAAGTGCACTGTGCTGCCCAACTCCATTCTCTAACTGCTGTCTGACATTAGCTAGTGTGATGCAGTCTTGCTATGAAGACAACCAAAATCAATATATTGAAAGATTGTCATCATTCCTAAATTGAAACAAAACTCTCATGTATTTCAATATTTTGTTATATTTGTTGGAAAGTGCTGTTGTTCAAGATGTGTTGTTCTAAAATATAACAGAATACATGTAGTCATATAAGTAAGGTCAGTTATTAATTCTGCAACCGATTTCACAAAGCGCTGTGACGCATCGAAACCCGAGTTGCAACATGTAACACATCGCAACTAGCGACGCGTCGTATGATCCATTTAACGAAACTTGCGATGTGTTGAACGCGTCGTAAGTGCCTTGACAACGGCTTAAAACACATTGCAAGTTACGACATGGTAAGTGGTCATCGCAAAATAAGAAGAGTCCTTTTGTTAGCCAGCTTTATGCCTTAATAAAATACATAACAAGACTATAATAGCGAGACAACGTGTGTAAAGTTGTAAATAGAAAATGCATTGCATAATTATGAATTAACCTGGAAAATTGCAGTTAAAATTTCAAAGTACATTGTAGCTATACAGTCCACTGAGAGCTTGTTTTCCTTTAAAACTGCATCATAGGTCTGCCATTTTGTGTTACGTTTTAAAACTTTTTGAGAGATCTGAAGACTCTTTGTTGAATATCTGGTGATGCAGTACGCTGAATAAATACCTACAATAGTCACCAAGCTATGCTATAAATACAGGGTGAGTCAAAAAACAGCGGAACCCAAACCCCAAAAAGTAATATTTCATATTTAAATATATATGTATTGCACCAAACATAATAATGACTGAAAAACCTATTTCATAAGCTACTTTTAGATGAAAAAATGACTGAAAAGCAATCAAAAACTCTGTTTAAAAAATATCACCATTTAAACTCAATGACCCCTAAAACCTGTCTCGTTAAAAAAAATGCGATATCAAGAATAGTCTTCGCAATTGTCTTCAAACGTCAGCAGCGATAAAAGCTCGGTTTAAATGTTAAAAATATTCAACAAAGTCCCTTTTATATGCCTGTCTTTAAAAAAAATAGATTTTATAAATAAAGATATTGTGTACTACAATTGGTGGCAGTTGTTGAAACAAGTATTCTGTGTCATTTTCTTTGTTGTTCCAAACCGTCAATTTTTTTTGGACGAGACAGGTTTTAACGTCATTGTGTTTAAATGGTGATATTCTTTGAACGGATTGGGCAATTTTTTTTTATCTAAAAGTAGCTTATGAAATTGGCTTTCCAGTTATTAGTATTTTAATATGAAATATATTTTTGGGGGGGTTGGGTTCCGCTTTCTTTTGACTCACCCTGTACACCTACGACATGTCGCAGTTACGACATTTTTTTTGAGAACTGGATCGCAGAACGCATCGCAGCTGCGATGCATCACAGAGATAGGATGCGTCACAGCGCTGCGATTCATGGTAAGTTAGGATGAGTGTCATGAAATCGGGTGCTGAAGCAAATTCCCCTGAAGAATACTTGTACATCTCACAAGTCAATCACTATCCAGTCACAATCCATTCAGTGTCAAGTCAAGTGACACTATTCAAATGAACTATGACAACAAAGAATTTTTGACATTATTCATTACATGTTACTTATGAAATGACAAATACATTTTCATGCTTATTGAAACACTTACTTCAGTATTTATCCTTATGCCACATGCACAGAAGATCACTCCTTTACTCAACATCAGGGGATTTCTAGAAAAATAGAAAATGTCAAGGCAACCAAAACACATGGTTAGGGAATTTTTTTTTAAAGGACATTTCTCTGTAAGTGAAAACAGAAAACACTCCCCTACCAAGGATACAGCCATTCTTTTCACAGATCACATTAAAACATTTGATTGTGTTGACAATGTGACCCTTCTGGTTCAGTTGACAAACCTGAAATTTGTAATACCCGAGTGGTCGTAGTCAGTCTGCAAATATTGAGGGCAACATATCTAAGGTCCTGCCATTACACGTTGCTGTGCAACGTTTTAAATAATCCAAACATCTTGGACTAGAATAATAAAAGCATTTACGACGGCTGTTTGTGTATGAATTCATTCGTTCTCGAAACAGGTCTTTGAATCACCTCAGACCGCCATTTTGAAAATGATTTTGTCAGAATTTCTTCAGAATCGTTCCATCACCGATAAAACAAAAATTTGTTAGCTCAAACAAGAAGTTATGTCTTGTAGCAACCTTGATAAGTTGTGCGATACCAGGATCCACGACAATCACGATTTGCTCAGGTAAACATACAGGTAGGTAATTTTCAGTTGCTACGCCACAACTTATGCCACCTAAAATGCGTAAAGTTTCGTGAAATCGGCTGCAGATCTTATACGAGATCTCATTTTGAAATTAGGGTTTTCGCAAATTTGAATGTTGATTTGATTATTTCTGATCGCATCATAATGCCTGGTACACACAGACACAGACAACAGTGCACCAACCAGCTGATGTACACAAGGTGCAAGGCGCCTGGGGATTGTTTTACTGCCTTTTTGTCTCAAGAATTCATCTCACATTTTATGCATACTTCCTCACCTTTTGCAAATGGGACAGCTCAGTTCATCTATGTCCAGCTGTTCCACCGTTGCACTCAATGAGGCTTCAGCCAATTGCAAGCTGGCTTCATATTCTGCTATGATGGCATTCTCTATCGATTAGAACACATAAATGCACTTTAGATTAAATAAATATAGAGGCAAAATATAGTATACAAATAATGAACGTTTATGAGTGCAATGGTAAGAATTCTTTCATGAGCTGACATAGAGAACGTTCGAGGCAAAGCCGAGTGGAATGGATCATTTCAAATACTGAATGACTTATTCTTTCAATTGCACGTTGTGCAAAATAGGCGTTGTGTAAAATATCTTATTTACTGATGTATTGCTAGTCTGAGAAGCACACAATTGTGTTGGCTGGTACAGCTTTTATTGAAATTAAAGTTGAGGTACTGGTAAAAAAAACCAAAAATGAAAAAAAAAAAAAATTTAAGATAAATAATAACGAAAGAACACTGACGTATTATCACAATTTATAACTCCTGTCATGCCTGTGGGACAATAGAAACACAAATGAGCTAATGGAAAGTACTGTACTGTAGCCAAATGGTAGTTTATTGCTACATTGTACCTGGACACTTACTACATGTACACATGCAGACTATACGGTATGCACATTCTGAGGGGCTTGTTTTTGTTTATTCCAGCACCAAAACATGTCTTCAGGGTGCTCACAGAGATGTTATTTAAATATAGGGCTCACTCAATGACCGCCATCTCTGTAGGAGAACTGCAACTGCGTATTTTACAAGCACGCATTGCGCAGTGTTGAAAATGTTCCAAACACGCGCACTTGTTGCTCGAAATGGGTTCGAAATACGATGCAGCCAAACCGCGTTATGCAAATTGACGGTCAAAATGCCGATGCACGTGGATGGTCTGTAGGAAATGACATCATTTGAAGGAGACTCATTAAGTTTATACCATTTTCTTTAACCAAATTGCCAGAATCTAACACTAAACTGAGGCCTGGAGACAAGTCTGAAATTTTAGATATAGGCCTAGTGAGCAGTTACCTTCTGCCATTAACTCTCTCTGGATTTCTTCCACAAGGGACATAACCACATCGTTATTCAAGTCTTCAAGAAGCTGAAAGAGAAACAACAGAGAAATAATCACTGCAATTGACTGAGTGATAAGTGGAGTACGCATATTATGTGTAAGTCAACCAAACCCGCTACATGTACATCATCAAAATGAAAACCTCTGTCACTGTTCCTGTAATAATTGCAATAAACCTCACAACCAACTGGTGTGAAATATGGCACCAAAGTGCTCATATTAAAGATATAGTCCATCATTTGTAATTTGTGCATTTTGTTCGTTTGAAGCTACAAAAGTGTTCAAAATCTAATGAAGGATACTGAACAACTGACCTGATGAAGTTTCAGCTCAGCTTCAGCTGTATATTCCGAGAAAAACAGCATTCCAGGATCTCAATTTCACATCAAAAGTTGCTGAATCATGTTTTGAATTTGGCCTGAATTCAGCGTCCGAGACGCGTTCTCACTGAGCCGATTGCAGCTATACGCAATGTCGCGCACTGATCCGACAAATTATAGCAACCGAGGGCGCGTGTGCGTCGTGCCAATGCTTGCGCGCGCTTCGCCGAATAACAAAATGAACTACTAATTTAAATTTTCCTACGGTGCGTCTTAAGACTCACCATTGGAAAGGCCTTCTTTCGTTGATTACTTCAAAATGACAGCTTGCCAGAAAGAAGAATGTCACAGGGAGTTTAGTCCCCTAACTATCTTTCAACCAAGTATGTTTTTCAACAATAATTACGCCAGTTGCTTTTCGGATGGCTGCAAATGATGGACTATAGCTTTAATATAGTGTGAGGGTTTAACATACATGTAATACACCTTCATACACCTACCCCGGTTCATGCCCTCCCTATAGAATAAATGAGCTGAAACACTGGTAGGATGTATGGATTTATCCTGATTAGTGACAGTTTTGATACAAGAATGCCAATATACAGCATCACCATTGAATGCCAAAATCTGTTTAGTAATAATGTTATCAGGAATCAGTTTTGACCAACACGCCCCATTTCAGACAAGAGAGAGATTAACTTTGTTGATATATCTTTATTTGTTAAAAAAATTGACAGTTGCAAATGGCGTGGCTCTGAAATGAAAGTTTAGAACAGAATTGCGAACATCGGGAAAAAAATTACCGCAAATGCAAACGCACACTACATGTAAGTGGATGTGTATCATATTGCGATCTTGGTAAATGTACATTTCATGATGCATATTGCATCATTATATGTACACCGGTACAGCGATCCATTGAAGTTGTACCATATATTTCCGAACAAAAATGAATAATCTTTATCTGAAAATATTAAAATATTCATTTAGAACTGTGAACATGAATAAAATTAGTTTGAAAGTGAACAATTATTTTGTGATAGTTTCTAGTTCAATCATGGCTGTGATTGGTCCAAACATTATGGAGTGATCCTCAACAGATCACTGGAGTAGTAAATGTTGTAGAGTCACTTCCCTCTCCTATCAATGTCTTTACCAAAACTTTTATCGAATACACATGTACTTGTTAGACCACGGTAATAGATCATGATTTTTAATTGGTCGAGAACCGAGCATGTGATGTGCCACAAGCATATACTGTGTAAGGGGTGTTCATGTATACCCCGTGGTACATCAGTGATGTACCCCACGGGGTACATTGCACATTACCTTGATCGTCCCCACTGATGAAAGTGTTGTTTCCACCGCCTTGTATAATAGAAATAACCCGGGTAAGAGGCTTCAGACAGCGCACACACGTGCGTACGATATGCCGGATGAACGCGCATGCATTATGTTGGATGGACGCACATAGACCTTGGTCCCAGCTGTGATTGGTTCGTAACGGGGCAGGGATTAATGGATTGGTCTATTCTGGGAAAAGCTAAACTAATTGTGATGCCATCAAGCTTCATGAGTCGTTTGTCGACCCTGGTCAAAACAATTTTTATTACAGATTTGAAAAGAGCACCATCTCAGCATTACTGCTGTAAAAACCACATGCTGATACCATCTTTAGTTCAAAAATTATAGAAGTTGGAACACCAAGAGATGCAATGAAGTGATGTGATGAAGTGGCCCTATTTTGGCATGTATCTCTTAATAAAAGTTCCCGACAAACGACTCATTTAGCTTGATTGCATCACAATTTGTGTTCCTGTGCAATGAAAAAAAATTCTGTGTGAATATTCACGGTGTAGTAATCGCAGATCTTTTCAAAATAATACTTCCGCTATTAATGCACGGCAACTGCAGGAAATCCACCATTTCAGACGGTTGGAATCTATTACCATGGTATAACAAAACAATTGTTGCCTGCCGTGATTGGGGTCCATGGTGTTTTGTACACCCTCGAGTGCAAATGGCACCCCCAGCTTCGCCTCTGGTGCCATTTGCACCCTTGGGTGTACAAAACACCATGGATCCCATCACAACAGGCAACAATTGTATACAGTTTTAAGAGAAACATAAATGAATTCTTACATCATCATCCATTTGTCCATGAGTCAGTTTCATCTCCACTCTTGCCTGTCTTTGTTCCCATTGCATTAGCTTCCATTCTTCTGCCATCAACTCACTGACCACAGACCCTCGGCCTGGGCTGCCTCCATCTGCAGCAGCTTCATTGCCACGGAACTTCTGAAGGAGGTTTTCTCGGCTGCTCCTGAGTCTGTCAAAACATCGCTGAGGACAAGAACCATATAAAAATGTACAGGGTGCATAAAAAAAAATGGATAAATCCTTTGGAATAGTCCTCGTCTCCCACAAAAACGGGAAAGGTTACCAGTTTGTTCTCTTCAGCCAACATTCGGTCTGGATATTGACCACATTCAGTAAAAGTTTCAATGATATTCATCCATGCATGAAAAGGATAGAGGCCTTTTTTGAGACTATACCCAAACAATATACCAACACAATGTTTAAAATATGGCTTTTGCTATGAACACAATGGCAAAATAAACTACGGTGCACCGGCCATGCATCGTGGCGATGGCCGGTGGGGCTGTGTGGTCAGGCGCGGCACTGCCACCAGCCGTGCACTGTGTCTATGGCCGGTGGGGATGCCTGTGCGGCCAAGGGTGGGACATGCCACCGGCCGTGCACCATTCGGCACTATTCCGAACGCACCCAGCTGCATTATGCCCACGGCCCGCCGCGCGTGACCAAAGGGCCGGCAACCCGGCAGCGCAGCCTATAGCCACGGCATACGTACACGTGGGTAGTGCATGATACTTTTATTTCAAAGTTCTTATATTTATTTAAGCTCCACAAGCTATCCCAGGCCAGAGCCGTCCACATGCTACCTAGTAATTGAGGCAATAAAGTGCGTACGGAGATCTGGAGAAAAAAAACACGCGCTCGAGACCGCCTTGCCTTGTTACAAGAAAATGCAGTCGTTTTGCGCACATTTTCCCATGGGACCGAGCTGGTTACGGACCGAGTTGGTCACGGACCGAGTTGGTCACGGACCGAGTTGGTCACGGACCGAGTCGGTTACGGACCGAGTCGGTCACGGACCGAGTTGACTCAGACCGAGTTGGTCACGGACCGAGTTGGTCACGGACCGAGTTGGTCACGGACCGAGTTGACCGGCACCTCACATTTATGGGGCTATGCTACGGCTAGACCCGTGAACGTGGCGTTGTATACAATGCCACGCTGTTGTGTATTTTCGAACCTAGCGAAATCGATCCGCCATACATAATTTCGTATAGATATTGAGTACTCACCTAGAAATCTAAATTTGCCTGTCCGCGTGTTCAGGCTGTGTCATTTCGACGAAATTTGCCATCAATAAAGACCCATACGAACGTGTAGAAATTAGATTTTAACCTGACAAGTGACCCTGACAAATGACCCCGGATGAGTACCCAGGGTCATTTGCGTGCAAAATTATCGGAGCCCTCCAAGCTACCCGTCTGCTTCCTGTCGCTTGGACATTGAAAGCTGTTTCATGTCGCAACCCCGAAAAAAAAAGAAACCCGCAAATGATTGGCTGCCCGGCTCATCTCGTGTACGGGTGCACATGCACTAGCATGCACTAGCATGCACTGCTCGGCTGGGTGGGATCGCGTGTGTACAGAATACGTAATACAGGTCAGAATTTTCACTTCTGAATGAGCACTATGCGCACATAAAAATCATTGAAACACTTATGAAAGCATCAACTCCATTGTAAATAGTTTAAAGGTAACCATCAAGGTAACTGGGATTAAAAATAATAGATAAAATCTCACAGCGATCATTTACTATTTTGTGTTGGTATAATGTACTGATGAAGACCTGGGGGTCTATGTAATGTGTGTCAAGTACATGTACATGTATGCACACATGTGATGTCTTGTTACATGTAGCATACATGTGCATACATGTGCATACATTACATGTGCATACATTACATGTGCATACATGTGCATACAGTACATATATACGTGTAGATGTACGTGTATATGATATACATACCGCCGGTTTGTACATCATTTTACAAGTAGGCTACTCACTGCACTAGCTGCTGCACTGACTGTCTTTATTTTAACATTGTGTGAGGAATTTCAACTTCCAAGCTTTAAACTGTTATTGGCAGAGGCAGTTTCACGCGCTACGCGCTATCATTGGTTTGCATTTATATTGATCAATGTGTGTATGTACATCATGTTAAAGTTTCCAGTATGCATATGTGATGTCGTGTCTACAGTGCACATGTAAATGTACGTGTGCATGTCATATCTAATTTAGGCATTTAAGACTGTTCCATATTTAGTACTGGAGCTTATTGAAAATCCTCAAAGTACCGTACATTGTTTTGTCAGTCGTTAAACACTGAATCTCAGTGAATATCATCAAACGTTTGTTTTTTGGTTTGTACATGTATAGACCTGTCACCTCTGATGCGATTACAGACATTGAAAGCACTGTTTTGGTTTTTGTTGGTGAGTTGAAGGGTACCACTACATGTTGTTTCAGTTGAGCATCACCTGAGTAAACATCATCAAACTTCACTTTGACCATGGATTTGAATAATTGTCTAAATTGTCAGCATCCTTTAGAGAAGCAAAACAAAAATAAGGGATGGAAAAGGGTTGGCATTCGAGCATTGCATCTCTCACCAAGTAATTTTGGAGGAACAGATGGATACATTTGTTGGTCGTGCAAGAATTATGTAACAAAAACCATCAAAGTGACGCCAAAAATAAAAGGCAAGAGCATGAAGAAGAGAATGCTCAGTACACCATGGAGCATTCGAACTCCAAAGGACCGGCGGATAAAATCTCCAAATTCATGCAGGTCTACGAATAAAATTTCATTCAAAGACAGGGCCAAGTCTGCCATAAATGACAGCAAATATGAAATAGCCTTCAGAGCGCTTTTGGAAAGTAGCTCTGCTAGCGAAGCTTTCTTGAAAATTGTAAGAAAAAAGATTCAGGAAGAAGTCAAACACTACCCCAAAAAGGGTCACTTTTCTCGGTCTGCCAGTACTTTCGAAAACCTTCATACCTGGAAATGGAAGGAGGTTGTTGAGGAAGCTGCTTTACACATGCCAGTACTTGTGAATGCACTTCAAGGTAGTCTCCCAGACCCGGGAAAAACTAGACCAGGACCACAGATCTTCTGTGGTTGGAAAATAACGTATAAAGAAGAAGCTGAACTCTTGGTTCAAATGCGTGTTGGTTTTCTTCTGTCCGTTATGTTGTACTCTCACAAGGCCGTGATTTTCAAGTTCATCCAGAGTTGTCTTTCCCTGCAACTTTGGAAACACGGTTGCAGCCAAGCACTCATTGATTGTCTACATGGTCTTGGAATCTGCCAAGGAATGTCAGCCACGCGAAGCACCCTTGACAAAGCGTGTTTGCACTCCAAAACCAAAGTGAAACAGTGGCAACATGAAATTGAAGGCATCATGACACAAGCAGAGGAAAGACCTACATCTGAATCAACATGTACACCTGTTCAGGGTGCTAAAAAGAGATTATTTTCAGGCGAGGAATGGAATAGTGATGGTTGGGACAGTGACAAGAGTGGAGGTACATGTTCAGATGGATCATTAAGCAGTTGTGATGACAGTACTGGGGGCTTGTGCCAAGTTGGTCCATCGCAAGAAGAAAAAATCAAAGTGGATGTACCTTCATGTAGCTCATCTCAAGAAAAGACACAACAGGAAAGCCCAGGGGATGTACATTTTGTAAGTAAACAAGATGATCCAGTTCCAAAAGGTGCGGGCAACAGAGGGGATGAGACAGGGATACCTGGATACTGTATTACTTGGGATAATGTCCAGATCCAAACAACAGCACGTGGACAATCACGTGAGCAAGGTAAAAAATTCAAGATTTGGGCAAATGTATTTGCCACAAAGAACAGAATTCCTGTTGGTGAGGAGTCATATTGTGATGTTGTCCACGCAAAGAGCATTCCATTGAGTAAGTTTCTGCCCTCTCAGTGTGATTGGGATGATTTGAAAGCTCAAGTTTGTGTTGTTGTGGAACGCATTCTTAAAATGCATTTGACATTTCTTGGGAATGTGAAGTGTTCGCCCTCGACCAAACATGTCTATAGTGACCAAATGAGGGGTAAAAGTCAGATAGTCAACTTGGGTGTCATTGAAGAAAACCCCTCCACCACGCCTGGAACTGTTCGGATCATGGAGAACCTCCATCAGAATGTTCCAACAAACAGTAAATATATGCATCCTATTGTTTGCTTTGCCGATGGATTGTCGATTGAGCGAATGCTTGTCTCCCAAAAGTCAAGATGTACAGGTCACACTATGAGAACAAGACTCCAGGGATCAGTACCATGCCCACAGGAATTCCACAAGCGAGGCATTCTTTTTCAAGACACAATTACCAAATTTTTCAAAGGTAACAGTTCAACTCAGCGAGGATCACTCTATCAATTAAAGCAAGATTTCAATCACAAATCTGTGAACAAGAAAGTGATGGAAAATTTCAATCATGTGGCTGATTTGCTCCAATTCACCACCCATGCTTACTGCACAATGCTGGCTTTGAAACTTGGTCGGATTCTAACAACAACTGATGCACCGTCGAGTTTTCCTTCTTGTGAGCGTCCCACAGAGCAGAGTGAATGGCTTAGCAACCTCACCCATGAGGTTGTCGATTTCATTTGGCCCCAATTTCTGTCTGAAGAAGTCAATACTGTGTGCTCACAAAAGGGCATTGATTCTGAAAGCAAGCATGCTTCATCATGTGTACACGTGCATCACCTTGAAGGGATGAAGGATGCTACTGATGCTGAAGATGATGGTTGCAAATGTGGGGAGAGTACAGGTGAAGATATGGTAAGGTGTTCAAATTTTGACTGCAGTTGGTTCCACCATTCTTGTGTTCAGCTCCAGAAGGTTCCTAAAGGTGACTGGTGGTGCTCTACTAAGTCTTACATTTATTGCCACTGTCACAAGAAGACTGGCCATGAGGATGAAATGGTACAATGCGAGATGCAAGATGGATGCACCCAAAATGAGTGGTACCACCCTGATTGTATTGGTGCAGGGGCTGATGACTTGCCTGATAAATGGTTCTGCTGCATAGAATGCGAGAAGAAAGGATCAACAGAAATGGCAGATGGTGGTGATAGCAAGTTGGAATACTCAAAGGCCTTGTTGTATGACGGTCTGTACCACCTTGCTTTACGAGATTCCATACGTGTTGGTGATGGCCCTGCCC